GTCTTTGCTGAACATACAGAATGTCACTGAGGCAGGCCGTGTTCAGCATGATGCGTGTGAAAGAGGGGATCATCAAAAGTCTTGGTGCCAGCATTCGGGTCGATTTCGCGCGTGTGCCTCAGCCTCTCTGTTGGAGTAAGGATGCCGAGTTTGGTTTATTGGCGAGGCATTGCCCCCTTTGCTGGCAACCCGAAATCCTCGGTTGAATTGTTGCACTTAGCAGATCATCTCTGCTTCGTTCGGTGGCTTTGGCTCTGGGAGCAGGTTGGCGTGGCGTCGAAATTGGCCTGTTTAGCGAGCGCAGGCTTCTCAGCTGGTTTCACGTTCGTTCTCTTCCAGCAGGGACATTCTTTATTAAAAGCTGTCGTTGGATTCGAGAATTTGTAAAATTTTCAGGACAGATGTGGATTTACATGGCTGCAGAGGAGGGCGATGCGAGGCACTTCCTAGCAGTGGCGTAGCCAGAAATTTTTCAAAGGGGTGGGCATTTAAACAGCTTGCGAAGGCTAGTTATCAGAAAGCACTTTTTCAAACGATTAATTGATAGTAAAATGCAAAAATTTCACCATAAATATGAGCTGTAGCTATTGAAGTAGTTTCAAGTAACGGTCATTTGTCCTCGTGATTTGGATGAGGGCAGTGCTCGCTCTGCTCTCCCGGAACATTGATGGTCGTTGCGCAGCGACTCGGACGGATGATCTCTCTGGATGCGACTGTGCATGCCCCCTTGTCGCGCACTTGATCTGAGCTCGAAAAAAAAATGCTCTTTCTTATGTGATTACCAGTAGCGAGGGTGACCATTCTCGTCATAATTTTATGTTTTTATCAGTTTGACAAGTGAATTTATCCGGGAAGCAGCTCACTGTGTTTCCGGTCAGTTTGCATGTGGGCGAGGAGTTTCTTTGCAAGCCTCGTTCCAGTTGCCACTGTAATGCTGAAGGGGCCATTTCGAGAAATTTTCAAATATTTGCAGCAGCGTGTATTGTGCCGAGGCAGCAATACCTGTCTGTCTGGCGATGTAACTTCCTGGCGTTTGAGGGTCGCAGCTGCAAAATTAGCTTCCAAACGTGCCTGCACCGTAGCCTTTGACTTCGCATTCCAAATCCAATCGGTTTTACAACGTGTGGGCAAGCAAAATTACAAATTCTAAAAACAAAACAACAAACAACTACAAATTCTCCTGTGCCTTTCGATTGAACTTCGTCCTGAGCTTTTGGCTAAGGAAAAATGTGCATTTTGAATTTTTTAGCTTTGATTCGTCATGTAGTGCAGGTTGAGGGGCCAAGCCTTCCGGATGCACTGTGGCTGACTTCAGGCTCCGTCCCGACTGATGCTGGGCCTCCGCGCGGAGTAGGTCAGGAATTCGAGGCGCTGCTGCATCCAGAAGATCATCATTTCTTATTTGCATGTTTGTGTACTGATGCAGCAAACTCTGCCGCCATCCAGCCAGTAGCAAAAAGCATCTGCCTTGGCGTGCCTTCTGGGGCGCGTCCGTGTAAGTGAGGCTGAGAACAGGCCCTGCAGCTGTTCTTTTGCCTTCGTTTTTATTCACAATAAACACTGTCGCTGCATGCATTTTTAACTTCTCGCCCTGCATTCCCGTTTCATTGGGATGCGTCGGCATTTCAGGTACAGATGGTCGAGCTGCGCCGTTCGATGGGCGGGCGTGGTAAGAAGGCCTCGCCGCCATTCCTCTCGCATGAATTTATCATCCAGAATCACGGGGACATAATGTCCTGCATATTGATGGTCGTCGTTGTTGGACTTCTCTTCCAGGTTTTTGCTCATTCTCTTTCGCGTTTCCTCGTACTCTCATTTCTTTTTAGCCTGCAGTTGATCCTGCTTCCATCGGTATCTGGGACCAGATTGGGTGAGAAGTTTCTGTCGTGAATTGGAGCACTATTGCGGATTAGCGGAATCTGCCACGAGCAAGCTGCACACTGCTTTTCCTTCGAGCCAGTTCTGTTTTAATTATCAGTTTTTTCAGGGCACATCAGCATTCGCGAGTATTTTCATCGTTCCGCAGTATAATGACACATTTCCTCTAACGGCTGATTCTGGTGAGTGTTTTGTCATTCCATCGTAGTGCACCTTCGTGGCCGATGAAGCAGCTGGTGACTTTTCCACGACTGTAACTGAATGCGGAATCCCTTAGTAGTCAGCATGTTTACATCTGTTTTCTCCTTTTTACCTTTCTTTTTCTGGAGAGAAATACTAGCTGTACTAAATTCCCTTCATCTCGGCTCAGCTATCGCTGTTGTACTTATCGCTCGCCCGATAGGAATACATGGAGGTAAATCGATAGGATTCTCTAGAGGCGGTGACTGGTGCATATTTTAAGCTGTAAGTTGGAAGGCTGCCCTGTTTTTGGGTATTTTCTTCATTCCTTGTGTCAGAAGGATTCGTAAAATTATCATTTATCCTTGGATTCATTACCAGAGCCCCAGCTGTATTATCGAACTGGCATAAAAGATGTGGCAACAATTGTTTTCTATGCTGTTGGATGGATCACCGTGCATGCAATCCTGCAAGAATATGTCCTGGATAAGTTGCAGCGAAAGCTTCATTTGAGTAAGACGAAAATGAGTAAATTCGCCGAGTCCGGGCAATTATTCGTGTTCGCCCTCTATTCTGTTCTACACAGTGGCAAGTTGTTTATCAAATTTTACAAGCAGACACGTCTTTCACGTTGTGCTGGAATTGCCAGTAATCACATTGCCAGAAGCAACGAGTTTTTTTGGTAATGAAATGTTACAAGTGTATGCACACTAGCGTGTTAAATGCAGTGGTGATATGCAAAATGTGGTGACAGACGAAAGCGAATGCTGCTTGAAATGGAGAGAGCAATGGAGCGAAGGATGCGCGAAATGTTCCCCTACGGCCGTTTTGGAGCAAGGAACAGTCCATCGTGCAAAATATTATCATAATTTCGAAAAAAAAAAAAAAAACCACGCGATAAATGTTAGCCGGTTCCGCAGGAAATAATGTCCCTTAAAACGAATTCCGATGAGGTCATGCTGGTGCGTATAGTGGATATTTTGAGGCAAAACTGTTAAAAAGTAGCTCAGGACAAGACGTCTTCGTTGAATCAGTTTAACACTTGCATAAGTTCCATATGACAGCTCCCTTGGTCTTTACAATTGTACATAAATCGTGCTGCCGCTTTTTTTTTGTTTGTGTTTGCCTTGTTTTGAATGCTTAAGCTTCTGAATGATATTCCAGGTTACATAATGCACGATCTTCGGATGCACATCGACCTCACCAAACTGTGGATTGGATACCCGGAAATCCATCGTCACATGACACTTCATCTAAAGCTGTTTTTCATATTTCAGGTATCCCAGCGCTTACATGCAGTCAAATTTGTTCTTCATTTTGCATGCTCATCAAAAGCAGTTTGAAAATCTCTTCCAGATTGCATATTGGTTGCATCAGTTCCCAGAATTCTATTTTCAAAAGACGCGCAAAGATGAAATGCAGCCGCGAACACTGTATTCGCTTATCTTTCTCTTCTTTACTGTTGTTGCATATGCTTTAAAGTAAGTAATGGATTGTTCTTTTTTATTTGTATTTGATTCATTTTTCCAGTTTTCTTTACAACCAGGCAACATCTGGTTTTCTGAGTGGACGACTGGGGATATTGGCCACCTCGCTTCGAACAAAACCTATGTATGCAGCCTCCTGATGAAACACGACCAACTTACATTAAATTCAACACACCCGTACGTGTGTGCGTACGTACGTGCGTGTGTGTACCATGTGTGTGCATGCGTGTGTGCGCGTGTGTGTGTCTGTGTCTGTCTGGGTGTTTCAGTTTGACAACCAAGCGAGCTTCAGTGCTGAAATTTTGCCAGTGTTTTCCCCTGCCAAATACCACCCCAGAACCGCGGTGCCAACCTTCATGCACGTCCAAACTTCGCGTATGAGCGCCTGAAAGTTTTAGTGGGAAAATTGCTAACTCGGGAGCCAGAACAGCTGAACTTTGAGAGAATATTCCCTGTCCAGGTACAACTCAATGATTTCAAATTCAGCCGCCAGATGTACGTGGCTCTTACTTATGGGCAGTCAAAAGTTTTGGCAGGAAAACTGCTCACTGAACTTTTTCACAGAATGACCGTTCGGTGGAAACTGTTGTTTTTTTATACAAAAAAAAATGTGAAATTGTTAAGTTTGCGCTAGACATTGCATAGGGTAAGTGTAAAGCAGCAACCATTCATACAGTTAACGACTTGTTTGATTCAGGTTTGCTTCGAAAACGCATAATCGCACCGGCAAACCTGGTGCTTTCCAGCCTAGGTTTTTAATAGTAGATGTTCGCTGGGCAGAATTGCACAAAACGTTTAATTGTACCAGCTGCCCAGGTGTACGCCGCTGTTTATTCATTTTTTGTACTCCATGATATTCAGTGTTAGCTCGCTTCCTCAGATTGGGTGCATTTCTGTCGAAATGCTTCATTCACAAAATACTGGACAAAGGGTAAAGCTTGTGGTTGCGGGATGCTAGCTTTTTTTCAGTTTCCCGAGATTAGGATGGTGATAAATTTAACGAATTCAGGCGCATATAATTTGGTACTTCGTTGAACTGCCACCGTCATCGACGCTGTTTCACTCCATCATTATTTTTGACAACTTTTCTTTGGCTGCTGTACCGTTCGTAGTCCGATGTCCCTTTCATAATTTCGGGAAAGAATGCCGCTTATCATACTTTTCATGCATCGTTTGTGTGATCCTTGATTTCTTAGTTGTACCCTGAAAATTTATGAGAGAAGACTCACAGGCAAACGTAATCTTTCGTGTTGCAGCTTCAACAGACTGGCTTTGGCCCTTCTGTTCCTGGAATATGTGTC